TGAACATATATCAAAATAGCACTTGTATGTGCTAGATATGAATGTTTTGTGATACACTATATACAGTTTACAGTATGATATGTTGTAAAAACATCCTTAATGTTTTCTGAAACCCTTGAATATAGCCAGAATTAAGTGTTATTTTTTCTATAGTACCTTTCAGGCCTGAAATAGGACTATTATTCATATCCTTTATTATTAGGATTTATCACTAGTCTATTTATTGCATTTTGATATATACAAACATTTTTTGATGATTTGGAAAGTGTATGTTGGTTTGATAATAAAACATTTCAACAAAAAGGAAAGTCTCATTTTTTAAGTCACTGGTGTAACCAAAAGACAAATTGGGTGGGTAAGAGTTATCTTTCTCAAGATTTTAGCATTTAAATAGAAAAAAGGGTTAGGGAATGGTGAGACCACTCTAATAAAGTAAAACCATTGACCAGTTTGGTAACACCACTAAATTGATTATGACAATCAGCATTGTTTGTGTATTTTTCATGTGTAACTATAACATAAAATATTGTCCCCCATGAAATATTGTCCATTGGACTAAAGTCCATATAAAATATTGTCCGCGGACACTATTTCATAATGAAATACTGTCTAGGACAATATTTCATTATGAAATAGTGTCCCTGTCCATGAAATTTAGTCACCCTTATTTAGACAATATTTCCGACGGACAATATTTCATGGAGGACAATATGTTCACTATGAAATACTGTCCATAAACACATTTCTCAATCAAATTATTACAAAATTAAAAACATTACATAAGCATGCGGCATGCACATTTTAAAATTTATATAACTGAAATTATTTTGTTAATTAAGTACAACTATATGTAACTACCTCAAGTTTATCTTCATTAATTACAAGGTTTTTTTGTAACATCATTTGTTTTTTTGTCAAAACCTTTGGAATGAATTTCATTATTTTGTAAACAAAATAAATTAGCCATTCTTCTGATTTATTTAGTAGTGTTTTCTGATTTTCAGAAATTCTTACCAATACAACTTTATGACTGAGATATTCGAAAAGTGATTTGTATTCCTTTAATACCATCCATGATGAGCAAAAATAGTTTTCTTTTAATATTTCAATAGCTGTATCTATTTATTAATTTGTGTTTATTTGTTATTATCAATCAAATAAAACATTTTAATAATATCATTATCCAACATGATATATGTTGATAACCTCCCCTTCATGAGACAAATTCATGACAATCTGTCTATGAAATATTGTGTTAATACAATAAAATATTACCTCCCTTTATCAGGACAACATTTCTTAGTATTAATCTGTGAAATATTGTCTATATACAGACAAAATTTCACAATAAAAATGTGTCCTTCTCTGGACATTTTTATCATAGATAAGGACAATATTTCATGATACATAGTCATGAAATATTGTCTTGGTGGACAACATTTCATAGGACAATATTTTGCTTTACATAACAACTGAAACACCAATGACACTATTTAGTAACACTATTGACATGTTTAGTTATTGATGTTATGTTATATATTTTGGAATCTTTTAGCCTAAGAATTTTTTTTTTCTTTTTCTTTGGCTTAGTGTTCTTTGTTTTGTGTTCAGTACTATAAGAGTAAAATTTGAAATGGGTTGTCAATGGTGATACTTTTGTGTCATTGTAGTTACTGATAGATAGTTCAGTGGTGTTACTATATAAAAATGCAATATTTTATATTTTTTATTAAAAACTGAAAGTTTTTTTTTTGCCGTTTACGAAGATACGAAGGATTAGGCATTATCTAATCATTCAGTCTTACACATTTTACATATATTCTGTTTTAGTGTATTCTTTAATATTAACAACAGCCATAAGTAGAAAAGCTATGTTTTTTACAACAATTTATTCTGACATTTATGTTCAAATAGAATGCATACTTATAAAATAATGTCAATAAATAGTAATTTAAACCTTAACAACAAATTGGAACAGTTGTTTGGTATTTAAAAATATTTTTTTAATAATTAAATGCATATTTTTATATTGGTAACACCACTGATCTGATTATATCAAAGGACGACCTAAAATTGATTAAATTGAAGGAACTCCGAATTTTGCCCATTGCATATTTCTAAATATAGTTGCTACCATATTTCCGAAAAGCAGGACACATTTTAATTTTTAAAACAATGACATCAGTTTTCCGAAATTTCCCTCATCGAAATATGCATGTTTTTTTATAATGACCCATATTCCTTTTTTGGACCGTAAATAAACTGTTTTAATTGCAGAGAGCCGGATGATAATTCGTTGCTTGTGATCACTGAAAAATTACGAGGACATAAATCTACAATGTGTTTCTGTATTTTTAGTTCCCTTAGCTACATATTTAATTTAACAATATTTATTTATTTTTAAAAAGCTTGTTATTTTGAAACAGAAAACAGAAAAGCGACCATTCTTTATAAATATAAAATTCACATTTCAAATAGACTTAAATGTGAAACGTTCACTCTTGTTTTAAGTCGTATTTATATACTGTAAAGTGGGTCGGTTTTGCTAAATGAGTTTTTAATTTTATATTTTCACTGATTTAAAGATTAAGATAAAATGAGGTAATTATCACCTTTGTTTAAATTTGACATTAAAGGAACATGTTTTCGGGGTCAAAGAACGAAAAGAAATTGAACCTCGCCTACATGATTTACCCTAGAAAATCCAATCTCAATATTTTAACTCCGCAAATGTAATTCACTCTCCAGTAATATTCGTTTTAAAGTGTATAAGATGGTCACTTTACATTGAAAATTGTGCATGTCTTTAACAATATTGTCCAATGGCTACATATAATAAAATGGATTTCAAATTTCTAATATATTAGTAAAATAAATAGGACGACGTTGACAGAACTTTATACAGGGTGAAATGAATAGGGCGATTTTGACCACAATAAAACAACGTAAAAGGAATCGATGTTGACAACTATAAGACAACGTAAAAGAAATATGGCGATGTTGACAGTTGTAATAAAACAAGCAAAATATACATGTATTAAAGGGACATTCAATAGCAATAATTTAAATAGAAAATTACTACGCCCTTGGAAAAAACTAAAGGCAACGAAAAAACAAGCAAAAGTTCTCAGTACACTACTTATAAAACTAAAGACTGAGCATCACAATCCCGACCAAAAGCCGGAGAAGCACCTGTTGCGTTTCTCAATAGAAGGTCAAATTCGGTGATAAATGAGAATAATCCTTTACACATTTTATGTTCAATAGATTAACCTTCATCAGAAATGCTTCAGCCAAAGCATGTATAAGTAGTTATAAACGTTAGGATCTATATAACCAAAAGTCTGCTTCAAACTACTAGTATTAACTAGGTGAAATCATTTACCCTTCACTCTAATAGCATATCGATTTGTATATGTCGACACTTGTAATATCGCTCTACGAACAACCTGGGGTCATTAAGTATCGTTTGGATTCATTTCAAGATATACCCGCACTGTATAACTTAAACAGAACAATAAACGTAATTTAATCTTTTATATATATTCCATTGAATGTTTATCCTATAACAGGAGCACTCAAGCATGTTTCACAACACTTTCCCCTGTGGCTGGAACTATAATGGGAACATCTAGATGCTTCACATCCACTTTGTTTATCTCCATATTCACAACCTGTTGAATACGATTTTCATATATATTATTTGATGTATGCAATACATGTATAAACTTCGTATTCCGATTCCGTACGGAAAAAAGCGAATTCACCCGATATTTGCCTATTGCTTGCTTATAAATTCTTACAACCACATTGATTTCAATCGTACGTCCAACCATATTTTTTTAATCAATAAATAATCTTCGAAAGTTCTGCTCAATATTGAGTAATCATCTGAATTGAGTGGACACGATTATTTAAATTGAGAAATTGCACAAATACTTGCATATATGAAAAAATCTCATTTTTTTAGACTAAAAAAGGTTTCATATTAATCCTTTATTTGTTTGTTGGTCAGTTGAATTATTTGAAATTGTAAAATCCGTGCATCCAATTGTTTAATGATTTTTTTATTTCGGGGTGAAATTACTTCGAAAAACTGTTCAAAGGATTATTCCTTGATATAACCTAAACACTAACTACTCGAATGAGGACAGATGCATCTTGAGAATAAAATTTGCCGACATTTTGACCTTTTCAAAAATTGTGACAAACAATGTGTTATGAAGGCAGGAGACAAATATACTCTCAAATATGCATAAATAACGGTACGTACCGTGGTGTGCCATATTCCCGTATTTAGAACAGGACCCGCAACATAAATCTGCATTATGTCCCCAGTAACACATCTGTTTATCGTTCTGTGAGGCTGTGTTTGTTTGGCACCAGTCACTCTTGTCTCCATATTCACATCTTATCAGAATAGTAAGTAATAATTAACTGAACGTTATGAGAATGACAACAAACCATTCAACTTCCGAAGCAAGATCTACGGAAATCCGAACTTTCCTGAAGTCCTGTGTGTGCCCAGTTTATAAAGAGCTTCGGTCCTTGCTTCGAAATTGCAAAAACAATACTAGTATATGATAAACGAGTTTCTGGATATCGCGATTGTTTAGTTATTTAACTAGGCTATTTTTCTTTATTATTATTTGATCTTTTGTATGGCAAAAACGTTTACTTGATAAGTGTAGTTTGTCTTTTTTTTTATCTCACTAAATTGTGGTCACTTGTAGAGAGTTGTCACATTGGCAATCATACTACATCTTCTTTTTTATATAAACGACGAAAAAAATTGAAAAATGGGGTGGTAAAATAAATTGTATGACGAATAGTGTGTAAAAAATAAGCGGAAAGAGAAAACGACTTTAAACAATTTTAAAATACAGGAATGAAGACCCTTCTCCAAGTTCAAGACCCTCAATTATAAACGCATTAATGAAATGATAAAGAAAATCATTTCTAGCATATACACTCAAACACATTATATACATGCACCTTGTTGATTTCGTAAGATGGATTGACAGGTTTCACAACATTTTTTTCTTATATGGTCGTCATAGCAACGCCAGTGATGCTCTGGATGTTTTATCTGAGCACAAGTGAGACCGTGAGCTGCGGTACCAGTCGACTGGTCCCCGAATGGACAGGATTCTAAAATAACCAAAAGTATATTCCGGAAATATTTTATAGATATTTCTAGATATTAGTTTTGAAGCAGTTAGTTCAAATTCAGATATCTTTTTTAATTGTAATCTGAATAAAATATAATAAACAAATACGCTCTTTTATGAAGAAGTCCTAGTTTTTGTAATATTCGATGAAGGTTTTAATTTAATAGTAGAATAAGGAAATATTTTTGACCTAGATTTATGAGACAAACTTTCGTAAATAAAAGAAAATTTAACTTATATCTATAGGAAAACACGTAAAATATGAGAAAAGGGTCATTTTCAAAATTTATCATAATAACTTGGCTATCATTTGACCATGAAGAAATTTAGGTTTGGTAAAAAAAAATATTCTCTCGAATTGATGCACATGATGCACAAGATATTGTATTTTCATTATGAAGCAGCTTCAGTTAAAATAAGAAGTTCTATACAGGTTTCACAAAATTACACTAAAATACACTATGCAAATGAAAATACCTCTCAATAAGTTTCGTGCGTCCGGAAACTCTTTTCTAAATTCATCTCCATCAGTAACGAATAACCCCAAAATTTTAAAAGCAAGGGATACATAGACATGATAAATACGTCGAGAAGGTAAGAGTTGAATGACGAAAAGGGACAAAAAAAGAATAAACCAATTTATCTAAGGTCAGTTTTGCCTTAGGGAGCTTCATCTTAGTTTCTAAGTAATTTAATTATGTTATTAATTCCTTAACGGGGACTTGTAACTTTGAACGTTGCAGATGAGACAAAAATGAAAAGATCTAATAAAAAAGAAAAACAGAAATTAACATTAAAATTATTGGCGGTGAAATAAAATGTTGTCTACAGTACAATACCTTGCATAGAAGGAGCTGCATTGTCGTGTACACATACTTTGTTGATGCACCACTGGAATTAGAAAATAAAACCACAGTACAGTCAGTTTAGCACACATCATTTAATTGCTGATAATGACAGTCGTTCTCGTGACATTGGTAAAAATAGAATAAAAAAATGAATATTGAACCGACTGCTAGCAGCCGGAAGGATATTGCATATTGAATAACGAATAACGAACCGACCGCTACATTCACATTTGTTCTCCCTATTGAACAAAGAGAATACTTTCATTGTTATTTGTACCCACTTAGGTCTTTTGAACAATTAGCACCTTTACAGCATATACATGAATCAATGAAAACAGTGATATTGGCGTAGGAATATCTCTCTTTTAAACTTGGGAAGGATATTGCATTCAATTCTACTCTCATTTGGATATTACCCTTATACAAGTAATCTTTCTTCCTTCACAATTAAGATTATAATTTGAAAGGCTTGACAAATTGCCTTTAAAAGAGTAATATGAAACTGTGATTAAATAATTTTGACAAAACCATGTCTTGGCGCGCTCAGGTTATCAATTGACTGGGTCAGATTAGTTGAACGTTCGTCTGTAACGCCCACTTGACATAATTTATCGTACGTGTTATACACATTTAAACTGTGGGGACTTCAAATGTTCTAAACGCCTAAATCAAATAATATGAATAATTAGCAAAGGACTTAACCTTGTGTGTTGATTTAAATGTTGAATACTTAACCTTTCTTTTTTTTCGTGCACCTGTATGTACTTTACTCTTTTATTCTATTTAAATCCCCAATGGAAGGCCTTAGATAGACTGAGTGAGCGTAAAATCACTGTTATCGATAACCGTTGACAACTAACTTAAAGGTAAATGATTCAGTATTATTACCAACATAAGTATTGCGGTTGTCCATGCTGTTATGAAAATGATTCTATAATAAATATAAGTTGAGTTCGGTTAGTCAGAAAACGAACGATTGAAATAAGCGATTACAAATCATGCAAATGTTCTGGTGGAAAATTAAAAGTTTCCTTTTGAAATGAAGCATTACTTTTGAATAAAAAGGGATCATTCTGCATTCAATTGGAGGTCACTAACCTTTTTATCGCCACAAGTCGTTCTATCATCAGATGACGATGACAAACACCAATTACTCCTTGTGGGGTCGTTACACATAAGGTCTGAACAAACCATCGAGAAATAATTTGCTGCTGAATACCGATTTGTTCCCTTAAATAAAAAGTGTATTCATTTTAAATTTTCTTTGTTTAATTATTATTTTGCTTTTTTTTCCCCCTTTTTTGTTGGTTTTTTAATGTTGATATTTTTCAGGTCATCATGTTTTACGCTAAACACAAATATCCTTTATTTTCTGTAACAAACACACAAGAATATTTGATAACCATTGATAAAGGAGTCTATCTTTTGAGATTGCTTATCTCAAGGAATCCTGATTTATATTTGGGTTTGTGTGGTGAATTTTGATTTTTTGTTGTTTTATAGACTGTAATAAAGTTTTTAGTCAACTTATAATAGCGTCGTTCTTTTTCTTGTTTTATCATATTTTGTTCATTTTTTATGCACTCTCTCTTGTAATTTCAAGCACTCTTAATTGTGTGTTGTGTCATTGATTATTGTTTGATTTCATGTACAAAAAAAAATGTGTAATATTGTAATACTTTCTTGTTGTAATTTTTCATGAATAAATACTGTTTAAACTAAGGCGAAAGAAGTAAATGAAATGCTTGTACAAATTCACTGCTATGTATTATACGGACAGTCTGAGTCAGATTTGTAATGTTGTAAGGTATCAGTCTGAAAGAAGACTAGTGTTTCCACACGGGCATAATATTCTAACTCCGAGCTAATCAGTATTTGCTGTTACTCCGTTAGATTGCGCTTGACGGAAAAGAAGCAATTACCAACTCTAATGTCTATGTTTGAACTATCGACCTCCTTGACTCGAAGCGAAGACGCGGCCACGAAATCACCGTGCACGTGGCGACGCGGTTTTGTTAACTTTGAAAATTACTTTCTCATGATTCTTTCCCTGCAAAGATACGATCCCTGTCCATGTCTTTTCACACATTGTTGGTCTATGCTGATAGTGTTGCCATGTTGATCGCTGCCTGCGCATGTGCTGCAACATTTGTATTTAATGCCATGCGCATAACATTCATTTGGATCGGAACTAATTAATTGTTTGCACGTCATGCCATTTTTAACAACGCCTGTCTGGTCGCCAGCAGGACAAGAATCTTAACATACAAAACGCTGAGTTAAAATGAATTTTCCGCGAAAAAAATATTAAAATTACATAGTAATGATATTAAAATAAACAGTATGTTCTTTGGTGTTTCATTACAAGCTTTAACAAATTGAATGTTTGCCATTACGATTTGCTTTCCTTCATTAAGATGAAAACTTAAAGTTAGCATTTCATTTCCGGTTTTTGCCAAAAAAAGCAATATTAGAAAAAAAATCTTGAGTAAAGTTAACGTTTAAGTCATCTGGTCCCTGATAGAGAGTTGCCTCACTGAAATTCAAACTTACCACATCTTCTTATAACTTTTTATAGCACTGATCGGTTTCAAGCTGGTAACACAATTTTAAAATATCCCGTTCGTAAGGTTTCCCAATGTAGTAACTTCGTTAAATAATGGTAGAGATTACCATTTCATATGTTGGCTTACATAAGTTAAGAATGGAAACGAGTAATGTGTCAAAGAGACACCAACCCGACCAAAGAGCAGAAAACAGCCCAAGACCACCAATGGGTCTTCAACACAGCAAGAAAATCCCGCTTATGGCGGTGTCGGGCTTCAGCTGGCCCCTTAACAAAAGTGTGACTTAACTCCGAAACATATAAATGAACCAAATTAAAACAAAATAATTTACAAGACTAACAAAGGATAGACGCTCCTGGCTTGTGACAGGCGCAAAAATGCGGCGGGGTTACATGTTTTGTGCAATCTTAACCCCTATACATCTAGTCAATGTAGAATAAACAAACAAACAGCAATATGCATAGAAAACTTAGTTTAAAAGACTGTATTGTTCGTCATGGAATTTGGTGTTAATGAAAGATTTTTGGAGGTCTGTGTTGAACTAAACCGCTACGTTTCGAGACTATAGATAACTTTTTGGTCTGGATGGAGATTCCTAATTTTTGTCTTAATTAAGTTTTGGCAATTTTCTTTATATTTTAAAAATAATGCTGATTCTGTAAATTTCTCATAAAAATGATTTTACTTTTGACTTTCCTGTAATTATACATGTTATATGATTTCTTTATTCTGCACATCATTCGGTTTATCATCTATAATTCTTTTATGTTCCACATTTATTCTTTACACTATTGAACCCCATTATTCTCTATTCTTTATTTTTTTTTTCAAATATTGTGAAAACACCAGTTTGAGTCCATCATCGTGTTTGTTATTCAATCTGATAAAAACACAGATCATGTGAACAAGCTTCGCTTACAAGGATCTGACATAACTCAGTTCTACTTTCTGTTCTCGTAATTATTACCTCAGCCAATGAAATTTCAAGCTTCGCCTATTTTTTGGTAAGTATCATTATAACAAAACCAGAGGATATCAAAAGATGTCGAAAAAGAAAGTAGAATGGACCGTTGTCTGATCTTTGCAAGCGAAGCTTAGTCACACGATCTGTCAAGTATCTTAATCAGATTTGGGTTTGTATTCCCCAATAGTGTACCGTTACTTAGTAATGGCCATAAAGATATGTTTCTCAATGGCCATTATATTTTCTGTATTCATCAGCTAATGTGTTTTACTGCCTGTTGATGTCTTCCCTCTTTTCCTCTGTCTATTGTTGAAATCCGTATGATGCCCTCTAGATGTGTTATCGTTTTTACGACTTGTTAGGTTGCTGTGTCATTATCGTTTATTCAACATTCTTTTATTGATATTCAGAGTGAAGATTTTTTACTTAATCAAATTTGAATAAAAACACATTATCAGTTTCATGCGTTTGCACCGCTTTTTTGGATTACATGTAACCTTCATCGGGAACACTCAAAGCCGAATATTTGAAAGCTGAGAATGTATAACCGAAATATTTGAAGAGCTATATGACCAAAAAAGAACTTAAAATAGCTAAATCCATCTAAGGTCAACTTTGCCTGAACCTAAAGTATCAACACGTGAGGTATTCATTTACATCAATTATATTTTTAAGACTACAGTTGTATCCTTCATTGATAAAATAAATATTAAGTTGAATAGATTCATTTTACCTGAAACCGAGAGTGCATGGTTATCCTGTACACAAACATCCGAAATACACCACTGCAACAAATGAAAAAAAATCTACTTTTAGAACAAAAGGGTTTAGTAAAAGCATTCAGTACCTACGTCAAAATTAAGTGTACTAAAGGTATTTTTTTTTATGTTATGCATTTTCATCAATTGTCCACTATTCTGATTTTTTAAGCCAATATTTCTCTATTCTCTATTGTTTGCCCATGGCCATTATTCTCTATTCTTTATATTTTAGCACCTTATTATTCTCTATTCTATATTCATTATATTTTTGACTAATTTTCTCTATTCTTTATTGTTTGTCATTTTTTTCATAGATTAAGCCTATTAATCTCTATTCAGCAAACCCCATCCAGACCCTATTAGAATAATTCTGTCTGTTTAGCACTATATTCTCTTGATGTCATGAACTTTATGCACTATTTGTTTAATAATTTTTTTGGTTGACATGAAACTCACAAAAGAAATTATGCGTACCATACAACTTTGAAATTACATTGCTTGTGAGCAAAAAACACCCCAGAAAAAATGGCTCAAGATTACAGAAAATCTGTCGCTCCAGCAACCATTCCTATCCTCAAACAGATAATTCTATACATTCAAAAGGAAGTTTAGAAATTGAGACTCTCTATAACAATTCATAGTTTTGTAAACATTAAACATCATTTAGCCAATAGATAAATCTGCAATCAACCGTTCATTTTTTTGGGTAATAATCTGGAAAATTTGCTTTTGTTGCTTCTAGTATACTGTAAATTGAGACATTATTGCAAGGTTTTTATTAATGCCAATGGTTGAGTATCGCATTCTAAATTTTACATATATTTATCTGTATACAAATTTTCCTGAAATCACAATAATTTATCTTTCATTTTTGTCTATTCTTCATAAATCGCAATAATAAACGAAGGCATTTATTTCTAAATTTACAGTATACTTGGATATTTAATATTTTAAGGGATCTAATACCTATTTAAATGGTTTAATCTTGTTTGTTTTAGAATATTCTATTACAAGAGTTGCAGGGTAAGGTACTCCCTGCAGACATATCTATAGGCAAAGAACTGAAGGAGTATGTTGATAACTGTGTAAATCTAATTTGGTACATGTGTATTCAACAACCACCAATGGAAATTGTCTGCGGAAAACGTGGTGAAAAATTCAATAAGGAAATGTTCCGCTTTTCATGAAAGAAGGAACAAAATTCAGGCTAACAGTCTTGCCTGCAGTTTTATATCATAAAGATGGAGCTTTAGCTGCACCAGGATATGCAGTTCCAGAATAAATAAAGAACACTATTATAATGGCTGAATTTTTCATATGAATTCAGTAGTAGATACAATTGCTGTGATTATATATGTATTTTTTTTATTATAATTTCAAGGGATAATAAAACATCTAATATAGTTGTTATTATTAAAACTATGTTAGATTTTCTCCTCACATCATTTGAAATGCTTTGGAAGTTTGAGTAAAGCAGGCTTGTCATGAGTGTGGGAGGGATATAGGTTTTTCTGCTTTTATGTTAAGTAAAGAACGTTAACTATAACGTACACCATACAAGTTAAGTCAAAGTCAAAATACTTAGTAATGTATTGCAGTAGGTTAATATGCATTCATGTTAAATTCACCCTTTAGTACACTTAAATACTTCTCCAAAACCTGTGATGATTGCATGTGTGCTCCAAAAAGGTGAATAGATCCAGCTCCTCTTTTGTCACCCAAATTATATACGTTCTGGACCAAACGAGTATTTGGACCATATGCATATGGTCATGACTAGTATCTGAATGATTAGTTCTATTTACCAATATTCGTACCAACCGATTTGTCCTAAGATGCTTGGTCAGTTCGTTTCAATTTTTTAAGAACAGTTGTAACAATATGAACTATCAAAAATAATGTGATTTTTTAAAAAAATTTGACAATGTATGAATTTTTTATAAAATGTATATAAATATTTATTTATATGATTTGTACTGGAAATGATATACATTTGTTTTAACAGTTAAAGTATTTATTCAAGTAAAAATTTAATGACAATCTAACATAAAAAATAGGTATCTTCGAATAAATTATA